TGACTCCTATGTTTTAGGTCACCAATGCAACAAATTATTTTGCTTGCAACTTGTGGAGGAAAATAACATTGAACTAGAAGAACAGACATCTGGAATAATCTGTTACAAACATTTGGATAAACATGCTTAGAAGGAAGGAAGTAGTGATATGACCACAAATTCTAATCTACTTACCGGAAAGATTTACTGATTGAGAAGATTTAGAGTAGTAGAATCTGTGTTTAAAAAACACGAAGCTTCTTAGAAAAATTATCTTAGTATATGTTTATTTAAATAATACTATATTTTGCTTGGAATTATTACATTAGGTTCATATGTATTTTATTTTTAGTTTATCTACTTCATAGTTATTTAAATAAATGTCATACGAACTTGGGTTAATTGGTAAGTTGTTTGTAGTTAGCTACTAAGAAACCATGAAGTGAATTGTGGTTATCAGATACTAGATCCTGAGAAATGTGCAGCTGACTCTTCTCTATACACACAAGCATATATCCGCAAATTATAGCAATAAAAATAATCTTAACAGTTATTCTTAATGGTTTGGATACCTAACCCTAGGAGAACAAATGGTTCTTTTCAGTAAGTCCTAGTCTAGTTATAACCAAGGTCACAAGGGGAGATATTACAAAAGCATCGACTAGCCTAACCCAGGATATAAAAGTTAATCTTCTATACCCAGATCCATTTTTAGGTACCATAATGCTTGACAACTTACGGTGTCCATACTGAGCCTTGGACATGAGAGTTCTAAGAAAGTTTGAACTAAGACAAGAACAAGGAGAGGTGAATGAACTATTGCTTTTAGCACAATTCAGCTAAATTCTGTTGAAGGTGAAATAAGTTATGTACTCCTAGCTAAATGATGTTGTTGTTTTCCTTAGTCCTCATGGAGCTATTATTGGGGATTTAACTTATTAATTAACGATTTATCATCTGAAAAACTAATTCCTTGTTGATTGTTTTCTATTTTTAAGGAAAATGATTATGGAACGTTCACGATTGATTACACATACAATAAAGAAACATTATACTGCAAACTGTAATGTCTTTCTTGGGATTG